CTGGCGCGTAAATGAGGTCATTGCAGGCGCTTTTGTGTGCCTGCATAACCCTACCCAGCGCTCAAGAAAGCGCCTGCATGAGGCCCGCAAATCCCATGTCGAGAAAGATCCCAGTGGGCGTAGGCTGGAGCGCCTGAACCCTGCTTAATCTGCAGGAACTTTAAAAGTGCCTGCAATAACACAATTTGTAGGTGCTTTAAAGCGCCAGCAATGACTAGGAAATGCCTACAATAACCTGTTTTGCAGGCACTTTGTAAAGCGCTTGCAATAACCTATTATGCAGGCACTTCCTAAAGCGCCTGCAAAACAGGTTATTTTCATACACCCGAGCTGTGCCCGGAGTATACTTAGGGTTGAAAAATCCTAATTTTCAAGCACTTAACAGGCGCCTGAAATGACCTATATAAGCACTCAAAAAAATGCCAAGCATCACCCTTTCTTTACCCCTGCACATAAAGCAGAGAAGCAAGATGACAACAGTAACTATTATAACAAGAATGGGACAGATTAAAAAAAAGTAAGGTGAAAAAGATAAGAACAATACCAGTTATTCTCTTGCTCATAATAGCATATGCACATAGTTTTAGCACCACTTCCAACAGCAAATTTGTTTTCTGAGGATTTGAAGAGAAAAGAGTAGTATGTTAAACTAGATGAATAAATAAGACTACACATTGCTTAGAATTCCTTCATAGCCTTCAGAATTTGGAAAAACTTGAAGCATGATGTATTAGAAAGTAGATAGACTGTAATTTATAAAATTACAAGTATCAACTTAATGGTAAGCAATCTGCACCTACAAAGGTGTGAAGAAAAATCTACAAAGTAGAATTGCATTGCAGTACCTTTTGGGCTCCACTGAACACAAAGTGCAGCGCGATTTAGCCTAAGGATGACAAGTGTTGGTACCCATTCTGTTCCTTCCTGGTTCCACACATATCTTCAAAGGAAACCACTGAATTTGGTGAACAAATGAACAAGGTAATGCAAAGGAAAAGGTGAAAAAGACTTGGAAAAATAAACAAGTAAAATGACCTTGATTATCTATCAGCACACAGTAAGAATGAGAGAGATCCAAAGCTACCATAAAGTTACTGCCTGTGAAAAACTTAAACCAAATAAGATACTCACGAATTCCTGTCATGAGATACAGTGACAATTTGGTTTGACTTTGCACTCCAGTCTATGCCAGAAACAATTTGGTCACGCTGTGACAATGTTAACACAGAAATCAGCATCTTAATCAAACAGTAGGCAGAGTACTCAATGCTGTGGCAATTACCTCCAGACGGTGAGATTTGTCACCAATTACTCCCTCGACTGTTTCCTACACAACCAGACAGTGAGATTCGTTACCTTGACCATCTCATCGCCACCGCCCGAATGTTCATCATTTGTTCAATTCTAAAATTTTAGAATCATAAACAGGGGATTTTGAAAATCTAAGAAGAAGACACAAACCTGGAGTACTTGATGAGATTTGAAAGACAAGACACAAAGGATAACGCGAAATCACAATCTGAGAAATCAAAATCAAAATTGAAGTTGCAATTGCTAGAACCTAATGGAGCGATTTGAAAATTAGTTAGGGTTTCTGCTTACCCAAGGGAGAGACTCTGGAAATGAAACAGAGAGTTTGGAAATGAGAAGACCGAAAGAGAAATAGCAATGAAATAGAAAAGAAATGAAACACCGGAAAAGTCGAGGTGATTTTGGGTTTTGGGACAAAAATAAAATGGAAATAGTAATAAAAGAGAATTAGTTTTGGGAAAATAACGCGCGGGCATATTTTTTGAGGGATACTTGACGTGATGTCGTTTTGCACCTTTATTTTTAATTTGCAGGTGCTTCTCAAGCGCTGGAAATGGATGACATTTACATATACATAAATAAAACGCCCCTAAAATACTTTTTCTCAGGGTAAAATTTCCAACACACAGAAAGAGCGCTTGAAATAAAGTGCAGGCAAATCCCAAAATTTTTGTAGTGCATGAAACTGAGTTTTTTGTGCTCAGTTTCCCATTCCATCAACCATGTTTTGTCCTTTTGGATTGATTTTGGAACAATCATGAACACCTTCTCTTTGAATCCAGCTTTCCTCTTCTTGACATCTCCCATGGTGGCACTAACATATGCCTCCATCTTCACAGCCTTTTTTGCTGCAAGATTTTGGCCAAGCAAAAGGGGTTTTAGATGAAAAACCATCTGAAAAACAAAGAAATGGTGGGGGTTTTTGTTTTTCTTTTTTTATTTTTATTTTTTTTTCTGGTGTTCACTCAAACTCACTCTTAGAGGTCTCTCAAGATCATTTATGCTTTGATACCATGTTGGTGAACTTATGAGAAAAGGAAGGGACTTGGAGGAGAAGGAAAGAAGCATCGGTGGAATTCCCTCTTTGTTGAGGTGAAAACTCTTTTTTTTCATTCATTTTCTGCCATTATATAGCAGAAACTTCATAGTACATAAAGGTAGTTTTCTCATCTAACACTTATCTAATGCATTTAAGGCAAGATTACATTAAAAGACTTGCTGCCACTTGTGCAGCTTCATGTGGCTGTACTTGCTGCTACTTTGCAGCCTCATTTACATTTCATTACAGCCTCATTTGATCAACATTTGCAGCTTGGCTTGCTGCACTTTGCTACTACCGTGCTTTGATGCAGCTCTCCCTTCTTTTCTTTTTGTTGCCACTTGTGCAGCCTTCTTTTCATTTGCTGCCTCTTGTGCAGCTTTCACACCACAACTCCAACAGAAACTTGCGGAGGGGATCCCTGGAAGATCACCACATTCAAACATCATGTCCAAGTCGGGCAATCTTCCAGGGTACCATCTCAGAAGCTGTAGGATTCCCCACAAAGAAAACACATCCCTAGTCTCATAACACCCCATGTACTTTTGTAAATAGGCCTTTCCGTTCACAATGACCAGCCTGAAATTTTCAGACTTACGTGCCAGTTCCCCCATGTCTTTGGTGACTCCGGTCTCCCTCCACGGCCTTAGATCCTCATGGATCCATCGGAAGTATGATGGACACCTGATACCAGATAAATTGTCAGGATTGGTGACGTTGTGTGTGGTTGTGAGGTACTTTGATATTGGACATGTAATTTTTGTTTGATTTTCGCAATTCAGGGGATTCAAGGGGGTTTGTTGCTGAACCGAAAGGCCTAAGTAAAATGTAGACTGTAAAATAGAAAAGCAGATAGAATATAAGCTTAATTTCTAAGAAAACAAAAAGAAAGATGTAATTTGGTATACATACAAATACAATATCAAACCAACCCATGAAGGCTGAAAGAACAACGAAGGCGAGGAGAAAGAAGATGACAGTGGTGACGGCAGTGTTCCGATTGGTGGGCCGCCATTGCCAGAGACTGCTCTGATTCATCTCATCGTTTTGTTATTTCTTAATTAGAATACAGACTCTACAGCTGGACGTTGGTTAATTTGTCAAGGATTATTAGTCCTTAATTTATGTTTGCGATGAGTGTATCAGTGTGAAAGTTTATTCGGGATAACCATATTAAAATTAAGCACATGACTTTTAATATAAGACTTATATTTAATTTGAGTTAAATCAATTGGTAACAAGTGTCAACTGACAATAGGTGGGGGAAGCCAAAAATGAATGTTGGGTCCCCTTACATAAGGCAGTATCAATTTTGAGTTTTATCAGATAGACTAACAATGAGTTTTCTAAAGATAAACTTGGTTTTTATACAATGTGAAAATTAAGTTTATGAGATTTAATACAAAATTTGCATCTGATTTAATACAAAATTTGCATCTAATTTAAAATTAATTGACAGTAGGTAAGCTAATATTTGTAATCCCAGCTAACTATCCAAGAGGGGGTGAATTGAGTTTTATCAATTTATTTCAAAACTTATTTTTTTTTCTTTAAAAACATGAATTAAAATTTCAATTTATAAACTATTGTGCAAAATAAACAAACAACAATTGCAATTTTGCAAATAAAGTGCAGAAAAATAAGAAGAAAGGGAAGAGAATATTAAGCCGTGATTTATAGTGGTTCCTCCAAATATGTCCACTTTCCAAGTTTCTTTGCTTGAGAGTTTAGTCCACTAAGACTTTCCTGCTTATGGTGCAAAATTAAATTGAAATAAATTCTTGTTTGCGAGTGCAAGATTAAACTCTCATAAACGAATCTTAACAACTCACATAACCTCTTCAAGGATTATCTCAATCCAAGAAGAATACAATACCTTTGTAAGCAAAAACAATTATCCCAAAAAGCTCACAACAACAACAAGAAGATTCAGAATAGTTTCTTGTGTTCAATCTTTGTTTTTCTTTTATTACTTGAGAAGTCCGTTGGCAGGAGCCCTTTCAAATCTGATTTTTGATGCATTTAATGGTTGGTTGGGAGATCTTGCAATTAAACCTTGTTTGCCCTTCAATGCTACCTCGCAATTGCTCTAATCAAATTTCACCCTTTTTCCACTTTCTAGTTTCTATAACATACTTTCACTTGTCTTGGAAACTGACTTAGTCATTTGGATCCCTTTAAGGCCCACTAAGACAAAATTGATAATTGAATTGTCAAATGTTTATCTTTTAAAATTTTTGCTTTGAATCTAGAAATATTGATTTGAACTGTTTTAAAAAAAAACTAAACTGCGAGATTGGTTCGAATCAATTGGTATTGTTTTGAACCTAGAACTCCAAACAAGAAGGATAGGATTTGATTCTAATTGTGTGAAAAGATTAGAATTCTTGAATTAATTTTTCTGCACACTTAGCATAAAATAAATTAAACTTTTTCAATTATGATTTTAAATCATCATCAAAATATAAAGAGAATCTAACAATATTTTTTGTATTTAATTCATATATTTTTTTGTTAGATAATTAATATAAGATTTTCTCACTCAACACTCTCTCCTATGTGCAAGCCTATTATAAATGTCAAGTTCAATTCTGTGACTTAATAATTGGAATGAGAATAACAATGATAATAATTAGTTGAATACATAAGAAACTCTTATAATTTTAAATGGTAAAATGATTTGATTTTCTCTCTGTT